TATGAATTGTTATCTTTATTTCTTTTCATAACCAAATCGAAAATTAACAAAAAGATATAAGGAGGACAAAGATGAAGCAGAAACTCAACTATGCAGTGCAAATAAGCAAACAAATTAAAAAATATAAAAAAACCTTTAAAACGCCACACGTACAAACCATCTCGACGAACGACAACCACAACAACAAATGGGTTAAAAGTAAACCGTGAGAAGTTAAAACAATTTATGACTAACAATATAACAAAAAAAGCTAACAACAACAACAACAACATGAAGGAAATAATGGAGAACTAAGTCAAACAGGCCACAACCACACGTAACAACGATTTGTGAACTTCTTCCCCCAGCGAGATTGGGGATTGATCAATGCAAAAACAAAATAAAAAACTAAACAAAACCACAACAAAGAGAAAGACTAAAGTTCAATGAGAGATGGGCCGCCGCAATAACATTTTGTAGAAATCCAATGTAATAGATAATAAAGAGAACTTGGGTAATTTTCATATTTCATGTTTCATAGAAAAATCACGTTGGGCGCCATTTTCGCAAGCAAATAAAAAACAATTGAGAAATGTGTTTGGCAATCCAACACAAATTCCAATGATTGTGAAATCGCAAAAATTAACTCATTGGAAATTAATATGGGCTATATTATTTTACTTAGGCAAACGTTGGGCGCCACTTGCAACTTGAGACGTTGGTAAAATTTCTCGAATAATAAATAATATATATCTATCTTTCAAATTATTAAGTTTTCTTATTTATAACATAAAAAACGTTTTATTAGGGAGGAATCCGTAGGGCGCCTTTTAAAGAAATTGAGATTTAAAGAGTTTTTCCGAGAAAAAATCTATAAAATATTCAAAATTTTAGCTCGAAAAATATGGAATAATGGAAGAAGAATTGAAAAAAATGTGTACTTTATGCAAAAAGAGGACCATTTCGGATGCCAATTGAAAAACGCCTTAAAAACATAACTTAGTTTTTCTACTCATTGGACGCCACTTCTAAAAACGACGAAATTTGCTACCCTCACCCCTCAAAAATATGAAGTATATAATATGACCTACTTGTTTATTTCAGAAATTATTCCAAAATGATTTTAGTTTAAATACGCTGGGCGCCACTTGATAAAAACAACGAAAACAAGCATGTTTTTAATAAATAGATAGTCAAAAATTATTCCAAAATGATTCTACGTTGGGCGCCACTTCATAAAAACTGCGAAAACAAGCACGTTTTTGACAAATAGAGGAAGCTTTTCGTTTCGAATAAATCTAAACTATTTAATTTCGCCGGCAAACAGCTCACTAACATGACGTTTGCTTTAACGCGTTGGGCGCCACTTCTAAAAAATGACAAAATTTGCAAGCCACACTCGAAAAATAGGAAGTTTATGCTAAGACCGACTTGTTTTTTTAAACGTTTATGATAAAATGTTTTTTTGAAGCGTTTTTGGTAGTCAAAAGATTCGACAGCAATAAAATACTAAACTTTATTTTATTCAATGGAGATTAGGCGGAATCTATATCTGAATGAAACGATATTTCTTGTTAATTTTAGATTAATTGGATCTCTAAAGCATTATTTATTGTTTCAATACAAAAATCCAGCCTGTCTGTTTTAAATAACAAATGGTAACAATGTGAACAATATAATTAAATCTGTAGATTTATAATACTCAGAGCTTCCATTGAAAAATTAGCATTTTTATTAAATCAAACGAAAAAAAAAAACTAATGGAAATAGAGCACGCGATTGTAATAAAATGTTTTCTGAAAAAAAAAAAGAAAAACAATACCCACAATTTGCAAATATAATTATATGGCATGGAAAAATTGGTATGAAAACTTAATGAATTTTTATTGTAAACCGTTAAAAACACAGAAATTTTAAACCGTTAATTTTGTTAAAGAGCTTTTTTCATTTTATTTTTAAATTCAAATCAATGGAAACCTTTGATTATCATGCAATAATCTACTCTTAACATGGAATGCAGGAGGCTTCTCTCTGAGTGTGTATGTGTGAATATATGTAAACATCTCTTGTATGGTATGAGAAGAAAAACAAAACAGAAAACTTGGCTCACATAATAATGGTAGATTTGAACCTTGATTTCATGACAAGAACAAGAGAAACAGCAACAACAACAATAGGTTGGCCGCCACACATAATGGGGGCGCTGGGAAAATATTTATCCCCTTCAACATAATCATCGTCATAGTGGCTTAATCTCTTTCATACTCTCAACTCAACTCTCATCAACAAAGGGAATCAACAACATAAATGCAAGGCAAGGCACAATGATCCATTGATTCAAGAGAGTGGCTCTCAATGTGTTTTCTTGCAATTACCGTTTGAAGGTGGGCAAATATTCATGGATGTGTGAGAGAGAGATACAACAGTACATCCTCTCAATGTGTCATACAACAGCAAATACTTTGAAATTATTACAGTTTTCTTAGGGGATCAACAATTGAGAGTAAGCGAGCTCTCTCCACGAAAATAGACAGAGCTTAATCTTACATGAGGCAAGGAAGCCTTACTATTGTAATAAACAAAACCAGTCCATTGTTTAATGGAGTTTATGCTATTTTTGTTGTTGTTATTTTGTGTTGCTGCCTTTATCTTGTGTCTAGTAGTCGAAGCTTACTACGTCTTAAACCTTTAAGCAGAAAAATAAGAAACGCCGCCATCCATACACGATTGCCTGTTGTTCCCATATCATCCATCCATGTCTTTTTTTTGTTGTTGTTAGAGTTATTATTTGTTGTTTTTGTATTTTTTTTTTCATTCAACAATTTCTCGTGGTCTTCCCTAATGAGATTTTCTTCTGTTTTATAATTTGATTCACCTCTTTTTCGAGTTTGATGTGCTTGCTTGCCTGTTCGCCAGCTTGCACCATTCATCGTAGGGGGGATCAACGTTGGGCTTGTTTGTTGGCAATGGTCGTGAGTAATTTTAATGATTTTTGAACGTATGTCTTTTTTCTCTTTACCTCCCCACCTCCCCCGAGACACATTGTTTTGATAATAATTGGGTGGCTGGCTCCCTCTCCACTCATTCTGTTTTGGTTTTATCTTAACCCATTTGGAAAAAGGGGGTAAGCCATGGCAATTCTAATAGATTTTAGAAGACGAACAAGAAATCAAGATAATATCAATGAATTAGGTAGGGTAAGACAAGGGAATTGTGCCCGTGTTATAAATTAAAAAAAATACAAAAACAAAATCAAGATCACCCACAATTGAGTGTTAGGAAAGTACGTCTTAACAAAGTCTATATAAGAGGCGAGGGGGCATCTATGTGTTTCAAAATAGCGGAAAATATTTAAATAACTGGTCCCTTGCTTGGGTTTCTAAATGAAGCGAAATCGAAATTAAGTAAAATTCTAACTGTTTAAATCCTTTGCCTATTTTCAGTGGAAACTGGCGCCCAACGTGGGGACATATGTGACATTATGTAGCCCATATTCAAGTACTTCTCTTCGGAAAGAGTTCTAACAAAGCTGGTTTTACGAAGCAAAATTCTCGAAATACGATTGGGCGCCACTTTTAGATTTCTTTACTCAATTATGAAAACAGATGAAAAGAAGTAATGACAAAAGGTAAGTAAAGTGAAGCCGAAATAGATTATATTCTCTTTTAGATACTATTGGGCGCCAATTTTTTTTACTCAAGCCTTGGCTTTTACATATTTGATGTCATTGGGTGCCACTATTTTATTTCTTCACTAAATTATGAAAAAGGATGAAGATTTTTGACTTAAGCCCTGGTTTTCACATATTTGATGCGCTTGGGCGCCACTTTCTGATTTCTTCACCTAATTATGAAAACAGATTAAGGTGAAGTTAAGCTGAAATAAATTATATCCTCTTTTTGACACTATTGAGCGCCACGTTTATATTTTTGACTCAAGTTGGGGGTTTTACATATTTGATACGCTTGGGCGCCACTTTCTGATTTCTTCACCCAATTATGAAAACAGATTGACAGAAGATAAGTATAGTGATGTTGAAATAAATTATATCCTCTTTTAACACTATCGGACGCCACATTTATATTTTTTGACTCAAGCCTTGGTTTTTTCATATTTGATACGATTGGGCGCCACTATTTCATTTCTGCACTCAATTTTGAAAAAAGGGAGGAAAATTATTAAAGAAGGTAAGAAAATAGAAACTGATATAAATAACGAAATTCTTTGACACGATTGGGCGCCATTTCTTAAATTTGTTGAATCAAGTCAATTTCGATTTGTAAGATACTTAGACATCTGTAATTTGTCAGCCAAAATTAAAACAGAATTTGAAAGCAAGGCACAACTTCTAAAATCTAGAGTTAAACAAGAAGCTAAACCAGCAAGTCATATCTCCTCTGGAAAAATTTCTTGGCTTACATTTTCGCGGTGGCACATTTGGGCGCCACTTTTGAAATTTTTTCCGCTCAAATATGAAAAAGAATTTTGTTATTTGAAATATTTGAAAAAAAATTATTTTTTCTTTAAAAAAATCAAATCGAAAATCAATGCGTCTTGAACGCCTTTTTGAAGTGAAGGAAAATAAAAAGATTTTATGTTTTTTGGCGCTTATAACGGAGAAAAGACAAAAAACGGAAAAATGAGCTGTCCCGGAAATCAATGCATCTTGGGCGCCATTTTGAAGTCGAGATAAATAAAATGATTTTGTTTTTTGCTCCTTATAATAAGGAAGAGACAAAAAAGGGCATTATTCTTAATAACTCCATTTCAGCTTAAAAGCTAAGGTTTTGGGTATTAATATTCATAGCTTTGAATTATCACATTGGGCGCCACTTTTCTCTTTGTTCCCGAATTCTTCGTGAAATCATATATTTATCACAAAATAATTTTTTTAATATACCTTTCAAAGACCTTTTTAATTCCTGCTGTCTCATTTGACACCACAAAACTGAATCTGTTCCCAAATTTAAAAAAAAAAAACTATCCATAAAAAAATCAAAGAAACACATTCAAATACTAACCTAATCCGAAGCGTTTTTTGATTTTCTTCAGCAAATGCATTTTCTTTTTACTATTCATTTTATCCTTTTCGAGCTGAAGATGATGCTGCTGCTGATGTTGGTGGACAGCATCCAGATGCTGTTGGGTTGGTATGTGCTGCTGGTGTAGCTGTTGCAAATGATGCTGGGAATGGTGATGAGGATGATGGGTATGATGTTCCATGACCATAACACCATGATGACCACCACCAGCACTGCTGCTGACGCTGACAGTGTTTTGTGTCATATAACCAGCTGGCATTTCGGTGAGACCCATTTTGTTGTTGTTAGTGTTGTAGAATAATTAAGATGAGACTTTAAGTTGAACTGGGTGATGTGTTGTTCTCCGGAAGAGATATTTTTTTTTTATTTGTTGTTAATTTTTGCAACACACTCTTTTTCTCTTACTAACAACAAATTATAGTTATAAAATAACTATTTTTTTTTAAAATTTTTAAATAATTTAAAACACAGTTTGTTAATACATTTTTAGTGTTTAATGGTGTTTGTTTGGTGTTCTTTGGATTGTTTTATTTAAAATATTTTTATCCAAAAATAAATTATTGAAATTTGGCGCGATTTTATTTTTTGGTAATCCTTAAAGGTGTGATTTTCTTTGCTTCTTCTTCTTTTCTTCTAGCTGTGGATTAAATCCGTTTGTTGTTGCTTTGGAAATGTTGAAATAAATATATTGTTTAACCCCTAACACACACAGTTTTTGAAAGAACAAAAAACAATCCCCTTTTGCGTTTGTTCGGAGCTTCTCCTTCCATTAAAAATTTTACCCGACCGAAAATTTTGTTGTTAAGATAGCTCGCGCAAAAAAGCCACGACCCGACGATCTTTACGCTATGATGTGAAAATTGTAACTGAACATAAAATTCTACACCCAGCGACCTCAAGCGAATCGCACAATTTGCTCGCAGCAACATAAGTCAGTCGAGCAGCAAGCAGGCAGGCAGGCAAGACTTGCACACACAACACACACTCACTCACTTACCCCAAGTGGGTGCAAATGTATGCGTTTGTACTTTAGGCCAGAAAACAATGAACATAACAAACGTAGGAAATTCACACACACACACACACCGGGCAGAGAGACGAAGGAGCAGTTGTTCCACCAAAAACATTTGTTGTTGTTTGGTTTGTTGTCGTCATCATCATAGGTAGTCGTCGCATTGTTGATGACAGACAGACAGACAGGACAGTTTTATACACACACACACAATGGGATAATACCAAAAACAACGACCATCGACCCTATTCCACAGTCAGGTCAGGCCAGGCAAGGCAGCCAGCCTGTCTATGTAGTTGTATTTATTTTTGACTTGCATTGACTGTCGCTGTGTGCATGTGTGTGTTTGCTTAGAAAAGCAGCTGTTTGAAGTTATTTTGTTTGACACTCCATTAAATGCGGCTCTCAGCGGGTCACACTCTCTCACCAAAGTAGGGTTACCAACTGGTTTATTTTAGTAAGCATTAATAATACAATTTTAAATTAGTTTTAGTTGTGAATTTAGCTGAGTAGAACTTGTAAGGATCTAGGCAAGCATTAAATTTGGTTAAAAAGTTAATAAAAAGGAACTAAAGAAGAACGAAACCCTACACCCATGCTACAATTACGAAGGTAAGCTCATATGATTATATTTTTTTAGTTGACGTCCCTTGATGTTTTGTAGTTCCTCCTTAGATATGGGCACATAATTTGTCCTTTTTAACCCCTTTATGACCTTTGTCAAGGAAGAATATAATCTAAAACTACAAACTAAATTATTAGCCTCAAAAGTCATATAAATACGACTTAATTATGGTGTGGTTAAATTTTGCTTCAAGGTATCATTTTGCTGCAGCTATGACAGGTATTATGATCGGCAGTATTGCGCCTTGTTTTGCTATTATATGTTTGTCATCCCACATTTTCAGTCGAATTGACGTTAAATTCACTACCGGATGTTGACGAAATTTTCAGCTGGTTACTCTTGGGTTATAATTTTCAAAGACTGGCTTAAGATAAAACCCCAACCAAGGACTACAAAAACAGCCTCGAGAAAATTTCCATAAGATTATCTCTATTTTTAGATGTTTAAGCCAAGAAATTATATAAACAAATAAAATTCGTCTTTCTAAGATATAGAACAATATTTTAAAGAGTCAAGGAAAGTCGACCATAAAAGATCACTCCGTCCCACTCGTCATACGCAAACATTTTTATTTTAAGATTTTTAAGCCCACCATAACATGAAGGATATATTACGGCCCGTTTTTCTATATTTTCTTTATAGTTCAGTATTGTTATCCCTCACTTTAGGAAAGTTAAAGGATAAAGTTCACATTATCGGTTTTTCATTATTACATCTTTCTGTTGGAATAAATTATTTTTTTTACAGAGATATGGCAAGCTTTTTGTAAAAGTATCTGGAAGTCACTGCATTTCTTCACAATAGCATCTTCAGTAATTAATTTCGTGAAATAGGTCTATAATTCAGTTCTTCAATATTAAATAAACGTTTTGCGCTATCCATTTGTTTATTTAAATAATTTTGCTGTTATTGCCATATCATCCATAAAAAATACAGAGTGAGATGAAAAACTGCAACCAACTTCAGACTGCTGTCATTTCTAAGCCACTCGTCCGACAGCTGTTAAAATTATTCCAGTGACAGCTCATTATATTGATTACAAGCGTGCAAAAGCATTTTGGTGAGAATTTTCCAGAAAAAAAGTCATTCGTGATGGAATTCAAGCGTGATAGTGTGATTTCTTTATATTCGGTTGGAAAACTACAAGTGTTATCGTTAAATGTTTAAATGTGAATAAATCTTTTGTGTCTCGTACCATCGCTCGTTACATTGATACTGATAGCGTAGCCCGACGTCAAGAAAGTGGACGGAAAAAAACAGCAACAACAGCAGAAATGGTTCGAAAAATAAAAAAGTGACTTAATCGAAACCCAAGTCGCAGTGGGCGAAAAATGGCTCGTGAGCTGAACATATCGCAATATTAAATTCGGCAAATATTGGAAAATAAGCTCGGGTTGAAGACATTGAAATTCCAAAAAGTCCAAGAACTTACACCGCAACAGAAAGAAAATAGACTCAAAAGAGCTAAAGAGTGGTCAAAGGAGAGAAAGTGATGAGCTGCCAAATTTGGTTTTCTCCGATGAGAAAACATTCGTTGTCCAGCAGTTTGTAAACAAACAAAATGATCGTCCGGCCATGGTGATGGTGTGAGCCGCCATAACAGCCGATTGTCGATCTCCGCTCCTATTAATCGACCGCGGCATCAGAATAAATGCCGAATATTATCGCGAAACTATTCTGGAGGGTATATTAAAGCCTTGGGCACGCAAACATTTTGGCCACAAATCTTGGAAATTCCAACAGGACTCAGCACGCGCCACCCAAGAATAAGGTTTCCAGCGCAAAATGGCCACCATAATCTCCGGATACCGATCCGCTGGACTATTAAAAATCTGAAAACTAGGCGCAACGTATAAAATTTAGTATCAAGCATGATGCTAAAATATCAAGTCATTTCGCCTCTGAAGCAATTTATTGGCTTACATTTTCTCGGTGGCACATTTGGGCGCCACTTTTGAAATTATTTCCTCTCAAATATGAAAAAAAATTTTTATTTATTTATTTATTTTTTTTAATGTTTGAAAACATTGTATTTTGCTTTAAAAACAGGATGAGCTGTGAAGAAGTTAATGTGTCTTGGGCACCATTTTAAAGTCAAGGTAAATACAAATATGTTATGTTTTTGGTCCTTATGATATAGAAGAGACAAAAAAACGGGAGAATGAATTATTCATAAGTTTTTGGGTATTACTAAACACATCTATGTATTTTCTCGTTGGGCTCCACGTTTCCCTTTCTTCCCAAATTCTTCATAAATTCGAATCTTGAACAAAAAAATATTTTAAAAATACCTTTCAAAGGTCTTTTTTATCCTTGTAGTCTTATTTGACACCACAAAAATGAGACAGTTCCCAAATTTAGAAAACCATCCATAAGAAATATCAAAAAAACACAACGCACCATTACGCTCAACACGCGCCACCCAAGAATGAGGTTTCCAGCACACAATGGCCACCAAAATCTCCGGATACCAATCCATTGGACTATTATGTCGGGAGTATTTTGAAGAGCATGGTTGGCACTAAAAAATACCAAAGTGTCAATCACCTCAAGCAAGCGCTTCGCCGGGAATGGGCCAAAATAGCGCAGAGCAACATTCGGGCAGCGTGTGACGGTTTCATTGGTCGTTTGAAGGCCATAATTCGTGCCAAAGACGACCAATTCGAACAAATCTAAACTTATTCTAACATTTGATGCTATTTCCGACATTTTTTAGTTTCAATAAAATTTAAAAAAAAAATGTTAAAATTATTGCGTTTGACTTTGTTGCCGTTTTTATACCCTCCACCTTGGAAAGGAGGGTATATTAACTTTGTCATTCCGTTTGTAACATCCTTAAATATTCGTTGTAGGCCCCATAAAGTATATATATTCATAATCAGCATAAAATTCTAAGTCTCTTTAACGATGTCCGTCTGTCTGTCTGTTGAAATCATGATACAGCCCATATTATTTGACGTAGAGCGCCAAAATTTAGCAGAGTAATTTGTATTGTGTCTAGGGCGGTACCTCCCGATATTCGGTATTTTGATGATTTATGGCACATTTTTTCACGGATTTGTCTGAAAATTGGTATTTGTAGGTGATAACGGGTCCCTATACGTGTGGCAAAATATTGCATGTATGGGTTCACGTTTTGGTATAGCCCCTATATAAAGGTACCTCCCGATATTCGATATTTTATTTTTTTTTTGCCACATTTTTTCACTGATTTGTTTAAAAATTGGTATTTGTGGGTCATAATGGGTCCTAGTTCGTATGGCGAAACATTGTATGTTTAGGTCCACGTTTTGATATAGTCCCCATATAACGGTACCTCCCAACATTCGGTATTTTGATGATTTTTGACACATTTTTTCAAGAATTTCTCTGAAAATTGGTAGTTGTAGATCATAATGGGTCCTGGTTTGTGTGGCGAGTCATTGTAATTATAGGTCCACGTTTTGGTATAGCCCCCATATAACGGTACCTCCCGATATTCGGTATGTTGATGATTTTTGCCACATTTTTTTAACGGATTTGTCTGAAAATTGGTATTTGTAGGTCATAATGGGTTCTAGCTCCTTTGGCGAAACATTGTATGTGTAGGTCCACGATTTGTTATAGCCCCAATATAACGGTACCTGCCGATATTCGGCATTTTAATGGTTTTTGCCAACTTTCTTCTAATGTTTACTTTACCCTAAGATGGAGGGTATTAAAAGTTTGGCCCGGCCGAACTTAATGTTTTTTTACTTGTTTTTATCTCAAGACATTACATTATCAATTATATCATGGACATATCTAAAATTTTATTTGACATTTTTCTCCTATACGAATCTATTCCATTCATACATCAAGAAATGATTTCCCATTCTGATTTTTGTTTCCCAACATAATTATGTTGGTTAGGGTAACCCTATTGCAGTTGTGAATGTTCTCTCTTTTACTCTTTGCATTTGCTCTTAACAAAAATAAAATGCACCGTAGATTAGTCGGTGTGAGTATGCATGTGTATGATGTTTGCTTCCCTTATGTTGTTGTTGCTATTTATGTTTATGCTGCTGGAACTGAAGCTGAAGGCTGCAGCAACAGCATTGAATCGAATTGAAGGTGTTTCACAGTTATGTTATTGTTGTTTTTGTAGGAATTTTTGCAGATGTCAGGTCACATTTTTAGATCAACATCTCCCTTCTTCGTTGAGACGATGATGATGATCATCGTAATGGGTCGCTGCTAGTAGTGGTGCATAAATGTTGCAAATAAAAGACAAGACGGC